ACTATTGTAATTTTAATAGTGATAAGCCTCTTTCTGTTTTTCTTCCTCCGGTTTTTTATATGTCATTTAAGTCTTTAATCTCTAAATTTCCTTTTTATCTCTCTCTCTCTCTCTCTCTCTCTCTCTCTCTCTCTCTCTCTCTCTCTTTTTGTTCCTAACCATTTGTTTGCTCAAGTAATAATATCCCAGCTGGGCGCATAGTACATGCCTATAATCCCAGTGGCTCTGAAGCTGAGGCAGAAGAATCCAAGGTTCAAAGCCAGCCTCAATCAGCAATTTAGTGAGGCTCTAAACAACTGAGTGAGACCTTGTCTCTAAATAAAGTATAAAAAAGGTCTGGGGATGTGGCCCAGTGTATAAGCACCCCTGGGTTCAATCACTGGTAACAAAACAAAACAAAAAACGAAGTTTAAACAGATTTAGATTCAATTTACGATGTTGTATTCTTCCCACTGTACCACATCACAAAACAATGATAGTTCATTGCATTGGCAATGCTAATATGATAGTTTAGGTAAATGGAACTTTGTGCCCCAGGTAGTGCTAAGAATGTGCCATTTTCTCTTTTTTTTTGCCAACAAATAATCTGCAGTGTGATACTGTGGGCACTGTATTTCCCCACAAGTATTCTCTAGTAATGACTGAAGTAGTTAAGATGGTAGTGACTTTTCTGTCATTTCATTCTACATTCACTGTCATTCTTTTTCTTATTTTTTTCACTGTCATTCTTTTATGAAGAACTCTTGGTTTTTATTTTATTTTAAATTATTACAGGCTTTCAAATTTTATTTATTTATTTTGAGAGAGAGAGAGAGAGAGAGAGAGAGAGAGAGAATTTTTTAAATATTTTTTAGTTTTCAGCAGACACAACATCTTTGTTTGTATGTGATGCTGAGGATTAAACACGGGCCGCACACATGCCAGGCGAGTGTGCTACCGCTTGAGCCACATCCCCAGCCTTCAAATTTTATTTATTATTTTAAAATATTTTTTATTTTGAAATAATTTTAAATTTATATAAGTATTGCAGAGATGATATAGTTACTGTTTACCCTTCACTCAGCTTTCCCAATTATTAATAGCTTGTATAATCATAATCATTTATCAAAACAAAGCATGTACTTGTATTCCTAGCTACTGTGGAGGCTGGGGGAGGAGGGTAGCTTGGACTCCATGCTCAGTGAGGCTTCCTCTTGGGGGGGACGGACATCTAAGCAATTAACATTTATACAATACTACTGATACTAGTAAATGGTAGGCTTTATTCACATTTCTTCAGTGTTTTCACGGATTTCTTTTTCTGATTTAGGACTTGATCCAAAATACTATTTAGTCACTTAGTCATCATGTTTCTCTAGTCTTTTTTCCAATCTATGCCAGTTTCATGGACTTTCTGTCTTTCATGTCCTTGGCACTTTCTGAGAGGATAGTTACTAGGAGGCAGAATATTCCTCAATTTGGTTTGGTCTAATAACTAATAATTGTATTTTTGGTAATAATCCCATAGAGAGAATGGTGTGTCCTTTTCAGTGCATTATGTCAGTGGGGTGCTATGTGTGTTATTACTGGTGCTCTTAAAATTGATCGTGGTAAATGGAGGTCTGTTGGGTTTCTCTGTAGCAAAATTATTACGTTTCCCTTTAAAACTGCTAAATATCTTGGGGGAGGTTCTCTGAAACAATATGAATATCCTATTTCATTTCCAACCCACTGACTTTCAGCAGCCATTAGTGTATTTTGCTTGCACCAGTTTTTACTTCAGTGTTTGCCTAATGGTAGTTTTTGTATTTTCCTTCTTATAAGTTTATTAATTGGAATTCTTCTATGAGGAAGAACTCTTTCTTCTCTCTTTTCACTTATTTATTCCACTGTTTATATTGGTGTAGACTCATTGATGTGTATTTATTCCTGGGTTATAATCCAGTATTGTGACTATTTTTATTCAGCTCAGACCTTTGGGAGCTCTTTGGGAGCTCAGATAGGCTCCAGTGCTCTTTCAACATGTACTAGCCTTTGGTGAGCATGTCTTACTCTTTGGCACTATGGTTGTTATTCTAGGATCATATTTTTCTGCCCCAGCCCTAGAATAATGACTTCTCCAAGGATCCCAGGTTCCTTTTATTGGAAACTGGTATTTAAAAATCCAGATCGAGACACTAGGTATTGCTTATTGCTCCTAGGCCCTTTTATAGCTACTAGGTTCTCTTCAGCTGACACAGCTGAGTAGTGTGTTACTATGTATGGTGATGTGGCTAACTGTTTCTGAGTATTTTCCTGTTTGAAAGCTGCAACACCAAAACAAGCTTTCTATGAAGTTCAAGCTCCAAATCACATGTGTGAACGTCAGCCTTCATAGTTTGAAACACATTAAAGGCAGTTGAATTTCTTACCACCAAAAATGTTTTTTTTTTTTAGTTCATCATATTCATATTGTATATATACGAAAGGAATGGCCTCACTGGCATAAAATCTAATCCTTTATCCAACTGCAATGAAAATAATCAAAAACTAGTCAGGGTTTTCCCGTGTTTAAATTAGGGTAAAAAAGATAAGCAATACAATATTTTACCCTCCAATTTAAATCATAAGACTAACAAAAGTAAGGTGATTGAAAAATAAGGATAGTTAAAAAAATCTTTAAATACATGTTTATATTTTATTAATTTTTAATAAAATTTCAGGTTACAATTGATAAATTAAAACATTGCAGTGTCTATAATACATATATAAAATATGTCCTAATCAGTTACTGATATATTTGGAAGCAATTGATTTTTGTCTGAAGATATCTTATTGTTACATCTTTGTTATTATGGTAATTGTTACAATTTTGAGTTGGACTTACTTGTTCTTAACTTTTTCTCCTTTTGTAATGTTTGAGGAAATATGCCAGAAAACCATCGGAGCTTTGAGTTTCCGTTTTCACTTTTCTTCTTTCCTTAGATATATTTACATTTACTTTATAAGTTATTTTTCTACTTCTTTAACTGCGTCAAATATAATTGGATATAAACATACTATCCTTAGGTTTAAAATAATTTCTGGAAAAAGTTAGAAAGCATCTTCTTATATCCTGATTGGCTTTTTCCTTCTTCAGCTTTTTATTTTGAAAATTATTAAGCCAAGTGAGAACATTTAAAAATATACATAATTAATTATCCCTCACATAGACTTAACTTTGGTTATTAATAGTTTGCCTTACTTTTCTTTCTGTATATGCAACTTTCTTCTTGGCCCACTTGATGGTAAGTAGCAGTTATCATTGAGTTTTACCTCTTCATTATGTCCAT